ATTAAGTCCTTGCAATCCTCAAAAAAATAACTAGGAAAAATAATGATTGTCAAAGTCCTCGTAATATGGTAATAATTAGGTTTTGAGCACAATTTCACCATATCAAGTAAAATTCCCAACTTTCTTAATGAAATTGAAAGAACCCTCAAGTATTGGCCAAAACCTTAAAAACCCACAAATTAAAGTCTTGGACGAGCCCAGAAAACTTAATGGCACCAAAATCCGTTGAAACACCAAAATCACATGGTAAATATGAACGTAAATGAGTTGAGCATAAAAACGAGTATGCCGCCAAACAACCAAATTTCATACAGAACCATTTATTTTTTAGTATGCCCGCCAAACTGTTCTTAAATAAGTACCTCAAGCTCCGAAACCTTTTTATTTTTTGATAAGCAACAGAAATTTACTAATGTTAAGGACACAATAACACCCAATATGTGTGCAATTAGGAGACACTTGAACTGAATAAATTTTGTATAGATTTTGTTTGTAACAACAAAAAATTTATATAAAATTTTCATGGAAGAAATTTGGTTTACATACAAAAAAGCCTCATACCAAAACCAGCACTCACACATGGGAACCAGACAAAGTAGCAGGATGACCAAAATTAGCTCCACATTTCCTTAGCCACTTGGTGTATTAGTTAGAAAAATATTCTGTTAAGAAGACTTCCAAGAACTACACTTGTACAATTTGAGGCAGTTAAATGTGCCAATAAGCACTACATTAAATTTGGGAAGTCATCTCAAGCAAGCTATTAGATGTTGATATTCAAGGATAAGTAAGAATTGATCTCAGAAAGTTTATTTCTTTGACTAAAATTGATCTCAGAAAGTTTATCTGTTTGACTAAAATTGTTAGAAGCAAACAAAATTGTTCCATTTAATTACTCATCTAGATGATTCTTTGTTGGGTAAATAACAGATTAATATAAGAAAACAGAAAAGAGAATTAGTATGTCCAATCAACCCAAAAGCACCAATAAGTGATCATGACTTGATGTGAATGATGATTAAATTAAACTAGAGAGATTAATCACACTTCCGTTCGATAAAACTGAATCTGAATTTTGAAGTCTGAATTCTGAAATCTGAATATTGAAACAATTAATTTGCTGAATTTTAAGCACTGAAAAAAATATATGAACGTCTGAATTTTAATGTTAAACCTATTTATACTGGTTGATAAATATTTATAGCTGAATGCTTAATAAGTTTAATTTGACAATTTTGCCCTTATATCCTTTCATTCAAAAAAGAAATAGAATCTATGATTTAATTAGTTTAAAATTGTAAGGTACGAAAATGACAATATTTATTTTTAAATCAAATTAATATAAAAGATGAAATATACTATATGAGAAGTATGGAGAAGATGTGAAAGTCATTAAAAAGGGAGAAAAGAGAAACTAAAAATCGTTAGATAGAGAATATTACGTTATTTAATTAAATAAGAATTTTGAACATAATTAACAAATAAGAGTAGATTTGGCAGATAAGATAAGGTAGTTGAAGTAATTTTATTGATTCTTATCAGAATTAAGCATTCAGTTAGGATTCTTGTGCTGAAAAAAATACACACAGGTTCAGCACTGCTTAACAAGTTCAGCAAATAGATTTTCATTTCTCAAACACTCAAAACATCTGAATGTTTGAAAAAATTCAAATTTAGCACTTTTTTTATGTTATCAAACAGACCCCCAATACTTAAAACAAGCACTACCTACTGATATAATTTGAAATCACTTTCGTTTGTCTTTTTAAATCCTACAACGAAAATAATGGAATTTTTAAACAACTAAAGGCCGCCACAATTGACCAAACTCGTTTCATGACCCAATTTTTATTCTTTCTTCTCGGCTTCCACACAGATTTTACTTATTTGCTGCTAAAACCTCCCTCCCTTCTCTGATCTCAGAAAACTTAATCTTAATTCCAATTTTAAGCAAGAAAAATATGGCTGCTGCTGCTGCTGCTGATGATGATGATGATATAACTAGTGATTTTGTGTTTTGGAAATTGTGTATTTGGACGATGCTGCTTGGGTTGCCTTTTGGTGAAATGTAGGTTGCAAGGTCTCAACATGCAGCAGTCCACATTCCTAGTGCCCCATAACAACTCACATGTGCCTAAGTTCTTGTGGTAACATATGATTTATATACTAGAAGCATTTACTGAATTTGCAATGAATTGACTTTGGCATACAAAATTTAATTACTCAAATTTGCCAGGAAACCATTTCCTACCACAGCACTGATTGTGGGTCATGCATGGGGTAAATCATGTACACCTCTGACACAATGAATGTACAATATCAGCATGAACTTGGGTTGTAATGAATGTCAAGGTTAATCTTCGCCACAAATAGTCTCAAGCAATTAGACCTAATAATAATTGAGACCTCTTAAATACATTCAAGTGACTCTTTCTCAGCTTCCTTAGTCCAACAATTTAACAAAAATAGGGAATTTTTATTAATGCCTCCTTTTGTGATAGGATTAAAAAAAATGCATTGTTCAAGTTTTTTTTTAGTATAAGTGGAAGATCTCGAACTCAGGACTTCTCACTTACATTTTCTCTTCCCATACCGCCCAACTCCTTCCTCTCCTCCCAAAAGATTATTCTTTTTTTTTTAAAAGAAAATTGTACGTAGGAGGTGTCGAACTTGACAGCCATTCTCATTTGCATTATTTAAGTTATTCTAAACTAACGTTCATTCATTACAATTTCTTTTAAACATACTAGGATGTAGAATGGGGATGACATATTAATCCCGCATTCTTGATTATGTAAAGACTAAGGCCTCAATTCTTAATGATATTTACAAATTAAACAAAGTAAATTAATACTCCTCTTGTCTGAAAAATTGGGACATTTTGCGAGTAGCACTTTTTATGCAGTAAAACTGTGAGCTGCAATTTTTAGATTCTTCCGGTCTTATCCACGTTTGAATATGGAGACCAGCCAAATAAATACAAGGTCATAGGCATTCTGAAACTGTGCATGTGTTATGGTTGGCCATATGGAATTGTTTATTGTTAATTGATGGAATCTGATCATTATTAGTGAAGGGCGTAAAAGGAAATCAGCATTGAAATTTGTTTGACTTTTGTTATGAAGCTCTTATTTTGGGACAGCAAAAATGTAAAAAACATAACTAGTGTGTTTGGATAGGAAATTATTTAAAATATTATTTAAAATAATTACTGTAGTAATTTTTGTGATGTGATGTGTGTGAGATAAAAAGGTAATTGAAAAGATAAAATAGTGTTGGAAATTATGTTTGTGATGCAACCAAATAATTTGGAGCCAATTAATGACTACACAAACAACATTAACAATGGAGAGAGGGAGTAGAAGTTTCAATAATTCAATGATTATTATCTACTTCAAAAATTAAAAGTTCGATTAACTTGAGATCACAAGCTTGATTTTTGAGGCCCTAAGGAGACTATCATTGTGCATCTCTATTTTGAACCAAGAAACGAAATAGCTAGTCTTCAAAGAAGAGGTGTTTTTTTTAAGTGATGATAAAATAACTCAAGTGGGCAAAGTGCAACTTATCCCTAATAAAATTGGAGATTAGTGCTAATTGACCCTTTACTTTATTTCAATTTGATTTCAAGGAGCCAAAAACAGTTTCAATTTGTCACAAGTTGTGATTCTTTTATCATTCAAAAACGCATGAGCACCTGGAAACTCCAAGCAGGGGTGTTACTGGAACATAAGCCCAAATCATTTAAGATTCTTGCATTATTGAAAATATAAATGCAGAGATCCTGAAATGCGGCAAAAATTTCGGAAGGAAGGGAGTATTTTAATTGACTCAAGTCCATGTTACTTACCATGTTTAATTGGTGTGTATTTATATCATTAGCAGTTAGCAATTGTTCGTTTGTACAAATATTTTCCCTCTACTGATTAATCCTTTTTGCCTCAATAGGACTATTTTGCACTATTGAGTTTGTGGGGGGAAAATAATCAGTGATGATTTGCACTAATCTATTATGAAAGTGAAAAAACCTTTCAAAAGTTTTTAATGGAAAAAAAAAGCAATATGTGTTTTAATTTTAAAATAAAAAAAATGCAATACAAAGTACCAAAATTCTATTAAGAAATCATCATTATATTTGAGTATACATGGAAAACTGATGGAAATTATAATGTTACTCCCTCCGCTCCAATTATTATTTGCATTTCGAGACTCAAATTTTTTTTTTTTAAGAATAGTAAATAACTTGACGGTGATGTTAGTGGATTCATTTCTAAACTTGTTCTCGAAATTCAAATTTTAAATTTGAATTTAGTGCCAAATATTGATAAACGTGAAAATTACATTGTAAAAAAAGAGATCAAAAGTAAATTTGAGTTTAATAAAATGATTTTGAGACATTTTAACATAAAAAAGTATGACATCTTAGTAAAAATAAAACCGATAAGAGAGAAACTATAAGATGATGAGTTAGAAGTTACGCCAATTTTATATTAGCACCTGCTCTCTTTACTGCATTGTGATAAGGAGGAATCACAGAGCCTGCTGTTTTAGCGAATAAGAAATGTGAGTCAAGTTGCAGGTTGGCTCACATATGCAAGGTCTCTAGCTACATATGCTAAATGGTTTAACAGTTGCTAAAAGGTTCTCACCAATTAAGTTGTGTTTTGAGTTGTAAAAGTCGTGCTTTTCGCCTTCCTTAATGTTCAACTACCAAAATTTTCATCTGTTTTTCAATGATTTCGTACTCAGGAATTAGTCGAATGTTTTTCTGATTAAGCTTGAAGAGCATTGTGCTCATGATTTCGTGGTTATTGTGCTGCTCGCTTGCATTCATGTGCTAGTTGAATTGATGCCATTGCCTAATGCTTTAAACTTCAAAATGCAAAACAGGGGACCCCTTCTTTTTTCTAGTTTCATTCAAACACAAAAGCGCTTGATCGACCTGGCTTCACTGAATCCTTAACCAAAACCTGTATCATCGCCACTTGATCATCAGTCAGAGGTTGATACTTTATGGGAAGCTCACCAGCAAAACTCTTCTGTACTCGATAACTGTACTGATGTGCCTCAACGTGAAGCTAAAAAATCTGCTTCCATCTCTTGTGAAGTGCTTTCATGCGAAGCTGACGACTCTGCTTCTGGTTCTTAATCTCTTACGTGCCTTCGTGAAGGAGACAACTCTGTTTCTACCTCTGTGAAGCTAAGCAAATCAACTTCTTGACCTGCTTTTAAAAAAAATAACTGTAATCAGGAACACGGTCATATGCAGATGTGATCCGTAAATCACGGACATGTCTGCTAGAGCCGTGCTTTCCAAAGCCTTAATATTACTCTTATGACTCTTGAGAGAACGTGCAGCTGCTAGAGCTGTGATCCGTAAATCACGGACACCTGTCAGGAGTGATGATAGAGCGTGCAGTGGAGAAATTTGGAAGTTGAGTTGCAAATTTCATTCCCCCAAGTTTTAGCCTCCGCTGACTTTGCTCTTAGCTGCTGAAGTTGAACCATATCCTTCCTTGTCCCATTGCAGAAAGCATCCCCCCATCACCATTGCAGAACACTTTCATCCTAATTCCAATCCCAAGCGAGAAAAAATGGCTGATGCTCCTGTTAGTGCTACTATTCAGGTTGCATTGCAGGCGGTTGTTTCTCTTGCCGCTGATCATCGTGAATTCCCAGAGGAGCTGGAGAGACTCGACAAATCTGCTGCAATGATCCGAGGCTTCTTGGCCGGTGCCGACAAGGACATGCGTAGACCAGGGGTGCAAAATTGGGTCGAGCAGCTGGAAGATGAGGTTTTCAAAGCTGACAATGTGCTGGACGAGCTCAACTATGAAAATCTTCGTCGGAAGGTGAAGTATCAAAATCAACTCACGAAAATGAAGGTATTCTTCTGCTTTTCATTCTTTAATAAAATTGGTTTTCGTTGGAGGTTGGGTTCAATGATCAGGGGGGTCAACGCGAACCTTGAAAGGATCCATCGGGATGCAGAAGGTTTGGGACTGGCCTACAAGCGGCCGGAAGCATTCGCTACTATTGTTACTGGAGCCACAACAAGCAGACAGACTGACTCGAAGATTGTTCGAAGTGATGTCCTAGGAAGAGACGAGGATGAATCAAAAATAGTTAAGAAGTTGTTGACCGAATCTGAAAGTGTCAGTATTTCAGTTGTTTCCATAACTGGCAAGCCAGGATTAGGAAAAACAACTCTAGCTAAAGCCGTTTACAACAATTCACAGTTTGATAATCATTTTGACAAAAAAATTTGGGTTTGTGTGGCTAAAGAAGTTGAAATCATGGAGCTCTTCAAAATGATTCTAGAATCATCAACAAGAAAAAAGGCTGAAGTGGATGGTAGGGAGGTAATAGTTGAAGGAATTGAAACTGAACTTAAGGAAAAAAGATATTTGCTTGTTCTTGACGATTTGTGGAATCATCAAGAAGGATTGTTGAATGACTTTTTCACCACTTTGGAGGCACTCAAACCGAAGAAAGGGAGCTGCTGTCTTGTTACTTCTCGTCTCCAACAAGTGCCAATTGTTCTGTCTAGACATCGGCGGATCAATTTTACTCGTCATGACCTAAGAAAGCTATACGATGATGACTGCTGGTCTATCGTGAAAAATTGGGCAACTGTAGGGGAAAAAGTGCCAAAAGAATTGGAAGACATGAGGAGCAAGTTGTAAGAAGATGTGACGGTCTGCCTCTGGCAGCAACGTTAATCGGAGGTTTGTTATCTAAAAAGAGAAAAGAGGATTGGCTATCTATTTTGGAGGAGAGTCTCTTGAATGGAGATCAGGGTGGGATCAAGCAAATAATTAAGGTGAGTTTTGATCATCTCTCACCTGCACCGGTTAAGAAATGTTTTGCATATTGCTCAATTTTTCATCAAGATACTGAATTGGAACAAGATCTACTAGTTGAGCTTTGGATGGCTGAAGGCTTTCTTCAACCGGATCCCCAAAATGAAAGAATGATGGAGGGAATAGGATATGAGTATCTGAGAACTTTGCTGCAAACTTCCTTATTGGAAGAAGTAAAAGAGGAGAGGAGAACATGGTATAAAATGCATGATCTTGTGCACGATTTTGCAAAATCAATTTTGAATCATAACAGCAGCAATCAGGACCGTTACCTTGCGGTATACTCACCCGAAAGAATCAATGAAAAAGCATCAGCATCGCTTCGCACATTATTTCTGGAGGGTGGCATAGCTGATGATATGGTATCAAAGTTCAAATACTTGCATGTCCTAAAATTGTTTGGAGCAGATGTCGAAGAGTTGCCGACCTCCATTGGCAAACTAATACATTTACACTTACTCGACATTTCAGAGTCTAGTATCAGAACTTTGCCAGAATCTCTTTGCAAACTTTACTGTTTGCAAACACTGAGAATTGGCATGCTTGTAGACGGTTTTCCAAAGGAGATGAGCAATTTGATTAGCATGAGACATCTTCACTATGATGATGATACAGGACGCGATGATGATGATGATGATGATGATACAGGACGCGAAATCCAAATGCCATCCGGGATTGGACGATGGACTTGTCTTCAAACGTTAGAATTCTTTAACATTGGTCGTCAAGAGGAAGGTCGTGGCATCCAGGAGCTTGGGACCTTGAAAGATCTTACAGGCTCCTTGGAGATCAGAAATCTTGAATTAGTAAATGGCAAAGATGATGCTGAACTGGCGAACCTATCTAAAAAGCCAAATCTGTATCGGTTGGTATTTGAGTGGGGCAATAGGGATCGAGAAAGTGATAATTGTGATGAAGATGTGTTGGAAGGCCTCCAACCTCACCCAAATTTAAAAGAGTTGCATATCCGGTATTTTAAGGGTGATCAGTTTCCACAATGGTTCATGAATTTGACATCACTGGTGGAGTTGCGTGTGGCGAATTGCACAAGATGCAGAGAACTCCCCACCCTAGGACAGCTGTCATCCCTCCAACATCTATATCTGACTGGATTGGAAAACATAAGAAGCATTGGGCTTTCATTCTACAGTACAAGTGCTGAGGAGGACTGCGGATCAGGAGGTTCAATCACTATTAGCAGACAAACATTCTTTCCAGCCCTTAAAATTCTCTCTCTCGAAAGAATGGAATATTTGGAAGAGTGGAAGGACGCACCCGAGATGATGTCAACCGCAGGTGAAGTACATGTGATAGATGTGTTTCCCGTGCTTGAAAAGTTGTCTATTTGGCGTTGCTCCCAGCTGATCACCATTCCAACTCCAAGTCGTTTCCCAAGTCTTGATGTATTGAAAATCAAAGAGAATTGCCATGTTTTGCTGGCAGAAAATGTTTTGAGCAATATAGCCAATCTCTCGTCCCTTGAATTAAGTGGTGGTCGTAGTCAACCCATAGAGTCTCTAAAATTAGTGAGACGACCAGAGAGCAGCTTGAGTATTGATAGCTGTGACAGTCTACCCACTGACATGCTTGAGCAACTCTGTCTTTTTCCAACTCTTCAGAGTGTAGAATTGAGGCATGCCGATAATATAACAACATTAAGAGGAATGAGTTGCGCCGCTTGTCTTAAGAGATTGGTAGTCTATCATTGTCAGAATTTACGGGAGTTGCCAGAAGATCTTTATCAATTTCAAGCTTTAGAGCACTTGGAGATACGGGGTTGCCCGAGAATTAATTCATTTGGATATCCAAATATTGGACAGAAAGGCCTCCTTAAGTCTCTTGAGGAATTTACTGTCGATGGGTGCCATGAATTAACAAGATTACCAGTGGAGATGTTCGAGTCGTGTACGTCTCTCCGAGAGCTGAAGTTGTCCTATTGCCGCAGTCTGGTCTCCTTTCCCCTTGATTTGCGACGAACCCCTTCTCTCGAGAGCTTCTCGTTACGGAGGTGTCCCAACTTGATTGCTGAGATGCCTAGTGGATTTGGCTATCTTACGAGCTTAAGGAAAGTGGAGATTGGTCCCTTCTCAGATTACTCAGTAATCGAATTTGATTGGGCTGGATTAGCATCTTCATCATCACTCCGACACGTGTCTTTGCATGGATGCCTGACACGAAATCTCTGCCACATCAGCTTCAAGACTTGACTACCATCACATCACTATCTCTAAGTGGCTTCGGAGCAATCGAAGCCTTATCAGATTGGCTTGGGAACCTTGCATCTCTTGAAGAGCTAATCCTATTCAATTGCCCAAAGCTTGAATATTTACCCTCCGTAGATGCCATGGAACGCCTCAAATTAAGATGTCTGGAAATTTGGTATTGTCCTCTATTAACCGAAAGATGCACTCCTCAAAGCGGCTCCGAGTGGCCCAAGATCTCTAATATTCCGGAGCGTAAAAGTGATTAAAAGTCATCTTTCCGAGCCATCGGGTAAGATTTCACTGCAAAATTTTGATTAATAGCTTCTCATTATTGGATATCGCTGTTCTTCACCATCTTATTCTATCCGTATTTGTCCCTCACTCTTTTTCTATGTAACAATTATCTGTTTCTTTGCTTCTTCTGGTGAGGATTACTTTCTCTTTCAATTTATAAACTAATTCTTGTCATTAACTTAACAAAGTAGTGTTACGAGCAAATTGAAAGACAATAAAAATTGTGAATTTCATCTGCTTTTCTGAACCATCAAAAAGTATGGTAAAATTCACTACTATATATGACTATTTGTCCACGAAATTCACTAATTTTTTCTGACACTGACAGTTCCAAACAACATTGAAACCAATAAAGTAGCATATTATTTAGATTTTATACTCTCTCATAAAATATATTACGAGGCTGCTATGTGTAAATCAACCCTTGAATGGGATTGTAGACACTGCAGAAGACGTGAAGCTGCTGAAGCAAAATGGGGTGATCAAGGGTGCTCTCATGGATGATGAAATTGCTGATCAATTCAATGGTATAAAGAGATGTTACGCCGGCTCAGATCAGAACTCCAACATTGAGGTTGCCATTGACAAAGTTAACAACTTCTACAGCAAGAAACTTTTGGTCATGACGGTTAGACGGTAGGAGGAGGACTTGTATGCTTCATGGAAATGTCTGGCCGTGGTTTCCACTGTGGCGCTGCGGGTCGTACTTAGCATGCAGACGTTTTGCGAGTTCTATCAATGCAGCAAAGTCTGGAACTTCAACAAGTGTCATCTCTATCAGCACCGGCAAGTAAAATGTCTGTTTTAATTAATTAACAGAGAAATATATGTTTTATTTATTTATTCTTTTTTTTTTATCATTATTTTTTGTTCATATCTTTATTAATTTATTGTTTCTCAAGGAAGGGGTATTCATATCTAGAAAAAGTGAAAAGAAAGATATACTTGTATACTGATTCTGTCTCGTTTAATTGTATTTTATCAATCCACTGGACCAAGATATGACTTTAGCCGACCTGGAATTAGGTGTTGCTCTTCTAGTATCAGTACAATGTTAAGCAAAGCCTAGCATGATACACCACTGGAATGTTATGTATTTGTTACTTTGTAATTATTAATCAGATCATGCTCCTCAAGGTTGGCATTATAAAATTTAATACCAATATCTTTTTAAACTTTAGATGGAATTAATTTTTAAATATTACTGTATAATTTTGATAAAATGAATATGAAATCTAAATTTTTGTGTGTGTATGAGAGAGTATATATTTTATCTACATTTTTTAGTCAGCCGGGAACCTCTAAAGCATCTTATTGCACTTTTCATATTCTCCAACTGCAACATCAGGCTATGGTTTCCAATCGTTTTTGAAGAAAGATGAGGAGGAAATGTCTCCACCCAACTTACTAGAAGTACAAGAAAATTGGTCCAAGTTTGCAAGTATGTTTGAGTCATGTAATTGTGCCTAAATGTAGGGTGGCATTTGCACTAGTATGTGTTCTTTGTGGCTTAACCAATGGAATTTAGCTTAATTTGTACTCTTTAGGATTTTGAGTGATGAATTGTTGCACTAGTTACCAGACCAAACTTTTCTGTGGGTCATGTTTCTATTTGGTGTCATAATTGAAGTAGCACTGCGGTGTAATATTGTGATTTTTTTTTGCCAGAATTTGTTTAGGCACCAAGGTTCCCGTGTTGTTCTTATGAGAATGGCAAGATGGAGAAGTTATTTTCACTTATCAGCCAGATTTTGAAGATGGAAGGTAGTTATTTGGTTTTTCCCACCAGAATGCCATATATTGCTCAGAATGCAGAAGGTAAAAAATGTTGATTGCAGGTCTATTGGCCGATTTCAATGTCTTTTTTTAAATCCATTTTCTAGAAGTGTTTAACAAAATAAATCAAACACTGAACCTTTTCTCCTTGTAGCATGCTGAAAACAGAGTGGCTTGTGCCAGGCTTGTAGAAAGTAATGTGGATGGAGAAGAATTAGAGGGGAGCATGGCAGCTAGTACTAGAGAGCTATCAAGATACAAGACTTGCTTGAAGAAAACTAGACGTGCTGATACTTTAGTTCCAGAGGTGGGAAGATTTGATGGAAAGAAGTTAGACATTGTAGACAGCATTGGTGATCGTTTGGACGACATAAACGAAGCATCTGATTGCAGTGTCAATCATTCATTTGGATGGCAAAAGTTCAAAGTTTTGGTGCTGCAATTGTAGATGCAAGAATTTCTACATCCTTGTTCAAAGGTTCCTGCCAGATCTTGCAAGGCCTTTGTAAATTGGACAATAGGTCATACTTTTCCACTCAAGAACAAGAGAGACTCATGGTACAACTATGCTAACAGTTAGTCATTCTAGGTACCAGGCTCAGTGTTGAATTTGTTTTAGTAAAATAACGAACCCTAAGTACCATCTTGGTTCTTAGCTAACTTAATTATTTTGACATGCCTACTTTAAGATAAATAGTCACAATCCAAAAATTTGCAGTTTGAATGATCAATAAACAGGTTTTGTTATTGTAGCATTCTATCTGTTTTGTTTTAGCTAAGAAAGACTAGCAAACCTAAAAATAATTTATAATTATTGAGAAACCCCCTTCAAATATGTAACATTTTAGAAGACTAATGAAGGTGGGAGATCAATGATAAATGTTTCTCATGAAGTTCTTCAACATGGTTTCACCTAATTGAGGTACTTTGCCACAAAGTATCCACTTGTTAGGTTAGATGAGCATGTTCCAGCAGGCCCACTCAATGGAAGTTGATAAATTACTCTTAAGAATTGAAGGAAGAAGGAAATTACTTGCCAACACTAAAAAGATATTGACATTCATTACCTATTTCTTTCTGAAAACGGTTGTACTTTTCATATTTTTGTTTGGCCCAAAGATTTTAGTCTATCAGGAGAAATCAGTCAGCTAAAAGAAGTCAATCAGAAAATTTATGAATGTTAGTACATGAATATAAATTTAGAAAAATCGTTCAAAACGTCCCTCATAATTTGTAAAATGACTTTTTTCGTCCCTTATTTTTAAAAGTGTACTTTTATGTCCCTTACAAATTCACTTTTGTCAAATTTGGTCCTTATCTAGGTTTCTAACTAGTTTTTAGTCGGAATTCATCATATGCCTGCCTTGCATATGATCATTTTTTAGAGACAAAATTGTCAAAACAAATTTACATAATCCATCTATAGTTCCTTACATTTCACAAAATAAATTGTTTCGTCCCTCACATTTCATAAAATGAATTTTTTCATCTCTCATTGACCACGTGTACGAATAGTTTTTTTTTTTTTTAAATTCATGTGTATATCTATTTGATTTCATCTAAACAGTACAAATAATATATAATATATCTCTATTTGAATTTTCAGCAACAACGAGGTGTACAATGCGGAGATGACTGTTGTGATGGCGAGTCGAAGTTCAAATTACTGCTTGTAAGATTTTTCTCTAAATATATTTTTTTATCTGGTTTTCTTTTAATTTGCAGAATTAGGTAACATTTTCCCAATGTATATCTACAAGCTCATTACTTATTTCTTTTTTCTTTCTCTAATTTCTGTCATCATAAGAAAAGGAATGTTTAAGTTTCACAGTTTGAGGTACCTCCTCTTATATGCTCTGACCCAAGGGCTAATCATGATATTTTATCTGTTTACCTGCAGGGGCCGTGGATATCTTGTTCCAGACGATGTCTACAAGGTTATAGTACTGTTTACTATGATTGTTAGGTGTAAGTTTCACAATACAATTGGATAAATGTTTGAGTTCTGATGATATTCTTTTATTTACTCATGAGGTGATCTGAACTGCACCCTCCCCTCCCAAAAAGAAAAAGGCTAATTAAGATGGAGATTGAGCAAACTTCATGTATGTTACCTTCTATTTTATATACAATATCCAGTTTCTCTTAGAACGGTGAGGATTTATATGCATATAGCAAACTTGTTATCTTTGAAGTACTCTGATGCTCAACTGATTTGTGTTTTTTAATGATCTGAACAGTGTGTGTTTCAATGATTTGACACTCAACCGATTTGTGTCTTAATGATCTCACACTTTGACACTCAACTGATTTGACTTGTTATCTAAATCTCCAGTTTCTGAACACTTATCATGATTTGTGTTTTAATGATCTGAGGTTTCGGAGCCAACTTGCACTTGATGTGCTCTGACTAATTTTTACCTAGAGTTTACTTGTGCTTTATGTGCTCTGACTAATTTTTTCCTTTTCAATTGTAATTTGTAGAGTTTTGATCAGAAGAGGAGTGGAAGATTTAGGCTGGATGGCTTTATATCACTCTGTATATTTGTACAGTCAGCGCAGTAGGTAGAATCTTAATTTCTTATACGATGTATTTTGATTGACCAGTTAGACTTATTAGCTTCATGAAAATGTCAGAAAAGTACCTTGCTGAAGGTATTAAAAAATGTTGTGCTCATAAATCATTTATCATTGATGTAGTCAGCTGCTTGTAAATCCCTTGCTTGCTTTAAGCTGCGAGGACTGGATCCAGAAATTTGTATCTGTTTGTGAACTGCTTTAGAGACCATTAGAGTACGGATCTAAGCTGTTTTTCTTTCTTATTTCTGATTATTTGATTGTCTAAACCATCAGAACCTATCCATTCACTATATACAGTGTGTACAGACTAGGAATTCATTATTGGCTAAGTTATTATTGTACAAGCTTCTCTGGCCTCCAAACTCCAAATACGAAAATTCGCTGAGAAGATAAGAGCAACAGCCATGATGAAAGGATTATTTTTACTACCATTACTTCGTTACAAGGAATAAAGGACAATTCATGAGGTCCCAGAATCCGTCTTCTGCTTTGTTTAGTAGTGCCGCCAAGGCATGTGTTGTCTTTGTAGATTCCATGAAGTACTACGACATTTTTACAGTCTTTGGTTCTGAATTTCCAATATAACAAATTTCTTTTTTTAAAAAAAATTTAATGGTCCCTCTATCCACTTTGATAACAAAATTAATTAATTATTCCTAAATTATTGGTTGCAATCACTTGTTTATGCCAAGTTCTAAATAATTATATACAAATGAGAGATAAATTTGTTCATTTCATTATAATTTTGCTCTGTCTACGTATATTAAATATGTATATTAATTAAAATAAAAAAATGATATTTTGTATTTGTTTGTCTCTTATTGATAATTTTGTTTCTTAATTTTAAAAAAAGGTTAGATTAGGTAGACTTTGATTTATATCGTATGTAATTGCATTTACTTATACCTGATGACATTTGATCTTGTATGTATTAATGAATTATAATATTGTATATAATTTTTTTTGTTGTATATTAATATGTTTTAGGTATTACTGATTATAACTATTAAATAGTTATTGTTTGCTTTGTTTCAACCATTTGTAAAGCATTTGAATTATAACACTTAGTTATGAATTAAAGGCTCGTAAAACTCAAGATAGAAACAATTGGTTTGTAATACAATAGCTTTGTCATTTACAATTTTTTTTCCTACGATTTGTATAGAATCAAAAAATGTTTTTTTTAACATGGAATTGGAATTTTGTGTTTCTTGTCTGGTAATAATTTTTCATTATATTAGTTAGAATTATTTAGAAAAAATCGAATCAAAACTCTTTTTGTTTTCATGGAATTGGAATTTTGTCTTTACTGTTTAGTAATAATTTTATTCTCTTTCATTAGAAAGAACCGTAATAAAACTGAAGTTAAATTGCCTAAAAATACCAATACTTAGTTAATATATATTTTGTTTGAAATTGAAGAGAGTTGTTAAGTATACTATTTTTTTATCTTTACTTTTTTTGTTAATACGGTTTAGTTTTAAAAGGAAGTGTTGTTAGGACTTAAGAAATACTGCAATTCTATACCACCTATTAATGACACTCAAAATCAAAATGGAAGCTAACAAAGACGTATGAAAAAAAGATAAATATTTGATAGAATGACAATATTAAAATTAATTTATAATTTTGGAAAAATGACCTATTTCATCCCTTGCATTTCACAAAAATATTCTTTTCGTCCCTCACTTTTAAAATGAAGCAATTTGGTCCCTGACATTTAAAAATTAAACCTATTACATCCCTGAACCTAATTGTCAATTTAAATCAAACCATCCAATAACCCAGTAATAAATTTCGGAGATAGAATTGATAGATCATATTCACATGACATTTATTGAACCAAAAAAAATAAAAAGTATAACATAAAAGGTCATTCTTTGTCTTGGAATAATAGGATTTCTTTTTGGGATAAATCTTTCATGTAGCGTTAGTATATACGCTTGTGAGTCTACATGTATATCATAAATATAAAATTTGGTGTTTAAATTTAAATTGAATGATATGGCAGGTACATAAACCCATCAATGTATACAATGACAATGTAGGAAGATTAATTCTTATTTGTTATGTTATAATTTTTATTTTTTATTTTTGGTTTTATTAAATTTCACGTGAATATCAAGTTGAGTTAGTCAAGTGATCTACCAATTATATCCCCAAAATTTGTAATTAGGTTGATAGATGGTTTGATTCACATTGAAAATTGGGTTCAGGGATGTAATAACTTCAGTTTTTAAATGTCAAGGATGAAATTGCTTCGTTTTAAAAGTGAGGGACGAAAAGAATAATTTTGTGAAATGTAAGGGATGAAACCGGTCATTTTCCCTATAATTTTTTAAAGCCTGTTATTGTTTACCTCTCACTACTAAATAAGAATAATTGATTACCAAATTAATAGTTTAGATGTAATAGACATAGAAAAAAAATTTTGAAAGAAAAATAAAATTCTTAATTTGGAAAATTATTAAAGAGTCATGCCTTGAAAACAAACTACAGAGATATAAATGTTGTTCTGTTAATTATAATCATAAACAACAGAAACTTGTGGGGTGCTCTTTCTTTCCTTACCCTGTATTATATACTACGTTGCCAGTTGCCACTTACCAGAGGCTTTGTGACAAACATCCAAGAAATATCAACAAAACTTCAGACTTATAGAATACCTATAGTAAAAAATATACTTTTCTATATAAATTATTATTTTGATTAGTTTAAAATTATTTTGATTAGTTTAAAATTGGGCAGGCCATTTTATATTTCTATCGCGCGAAGCGCGTTCATGCCTCCTAGTATTAGTGATAGGAGGAATCAGAGAGCCTACTGTTTCAGCCAATAAGAAATGTGACCGAAGAGTCAAGTTGCAGGCTGGCTCACACATGCAATTGTCTGCAACTTCCTTTGATAACAGAGGCTGTGATCCGTAAATCACGGACAGCTTTTATGTGTCTTTAGAGTGGCGCTGTGGTCCATTGTGTCTTTTAGAGTCTAAAGCTGTGTCTTTACAGCGTGCAGTGGAGCCCGGCATATTGCAAAGGCGGACAAATTTGAAAGTCGACTTGCAAATTTCATTCCCTCTGATAGCTGCTGAAGTTGAACCCTTCCTTCCTTGTCTCATCGCAGAAAGCATCCCCCCATCACCATTGCAGAACACTTTCATCCTACTTCCAATCCCAAGTGAGAAAAAATGGCTGATGCTGCTGTTAGTGCTACTATTCAGGTTGCATTGCAGACGGTTGTTTCCCTAGCCGCTGATCATGTTAATCTGGCTCGTGAATTCCCAGAGGAACTGGTGAGACTCGACAAATCTGCTGCAATGATCCGAGGCTTCTTGGCTGGTGCCGACGAGGACAAGCATAGCCCAGTGGTGCAAAATTGGCTCAAGCAGCTGGAAGAAGAGGTTTTCAAAGCCGACAATGTGCTGGACGAGCTCAACTATGAAAATCTTCGTCGGAAGGTGAAGTATCAAAATCAACTCACGAAAAAGAAGGTACTGTTCTTCTTTTCATTCTTTAATAAAATTGGTTTTCGTTGGGTTGGGTTCAATGATCAGGGAGATCAACACGAACCTTCAAAGGATCCATCGGGATGCAGAAGGTTTGGGACTGGCCTACAAGCACCAAGTTGAAGAAGCATTCGCTACTGTTGCTGCTGGAGCCACAACAAGCCGACAGACCGACTCTACTATTGGGTGAATTCTTAGTTTATGATGAAAAAAAAAAAGAATTCTACAACGAGGGCGTTTCCTGGAGGAGTTTCTGTAAATGGGGGTCTTCGCATTTTGAGAATGCGAACTCACTGAGCTCGCATTCTGAAAATGCGAGCTCACTGAGCTCGCATTCGGGAATGCGAGCTCAATTCGAGCTCGCATTCCGGAAATGCGAGCTCAGTGATTAGTGTCTGCTTTATTCAGTATGCTGAGTTTCAAATGATTAAGAATGATCCAGGATGGGAGGAGGATTTTGGAGGAGAGGAGGCGAAACACCTTCAGCTGTTAAATGGGAGGACAGGATCATAGAGATTCGTGAAGGTTCTTGGTCCTACGTTTGTAGTTCGATCGGCAAAGCCCCTGGTATGTGCTTTAATGTAGCTCTTTCTCACTGCTTCCACCTGTTTTGATTCTTCAGTTATGCTGTTTCCTTCTCAACCTCCGTGCTTATTTTACATGCAATTGTCATCTAGTGCAGAGAAAGTTGTAGGCACTGCAACACCTCAAGAACCACCTGAGGAGTGGCAAGCTTCATGGAACATCTCAACAGGAAATGAACTATTAATACGTTGGGCGTCTCCGACATCCAGTTCAGGCTTGAATTTTGTCATAAGAAACAAGGAACCTACTGACAGGATGGTACAGCCCATTTCCGGAATCACTGATTGTCAAAATCCTTTTTTGTTTTAATACAAAAATATAAATCTCTGCCTCCAAAAAAAAAAAGCAAAAAAATTTGCATCTCTGTAATGCGAGCAAATGAGAGCTCGCATTCCAGGAATGCGAGCTCTCAACAGAGCTCGCATTCGTGAAATGCGAGCTCTCCTGAGCTCGCATTTCACGAATGCGAAGACCCCCGACAGAATTCCTCGCCACAATCACCCCTTTTGTAGAATTTTTTTAAAATTCATCACAAACTTAGAAATTTCTCCTCTACTATTGTTCGAAGAGATGTCCTAGGAAGAGACGAGGATGAATCAGAAATCGTTAAGAAGTTGTTGACCGAAACTGAAAGTGTTATTTCAGTTATTCCCATAACTGGCATGGGTGGTTTAGGAAAAACAACTCTAGCTAAAGCCGTTTACAACAAATCACAGATTCATAAGCATTTTGACAAAAAAAATTTGGGTTTGTGTGGCTGAAAAAGTAGATAGAATCGAGGAGGTCTTCAAAATGATTCTAGAATCGTTGATAGAAGGAAAGGTTGAAGGGATCGTAGGGAGGTAATAGTTCAAAAAATTCAAGATGAACTCAAGGAAAAAAAATATTTCCTTGTTCTTGATGATTTGTGGAATGATCAAGAAGTATTGTTGAATGACTTTTTCAGCACATTGGCGGGACTCAATGCGAAGAAAGGGAGCTGGTGTCTTGTTACCACTCGTCTGCAAGAAGTGGCAATTATTCTGTCTAGACATCCGCAGATCAATTTTACTCGCCATGAGCTAGGAAAGCTCTGCAATGATGATTGCTGGTCTATCATTAAAAAATGGGCAACTTTAGGGGAAGAAGTACCAAAAGAATTGGAAGACATGAGGCGCCAAGTTTTAAGAAGATGTGACGGTCTTCCTCTGGCAGCAAAGTTAATCGGAGGTTTGTTATCTAAAAAGAGAAAAGAGGACTGGCTATCTATTTTGGAGGAGAGTCTCTTGAATGGAGATCAGGGTGGGATTGAGCAAATAGTTAAGGTGAGTTTTGATCATCTGTCACCTGCACCGGTTAAGAAATGTTTTGCATATTGCTCAATTTTTCATCAAGATACTGAATTGGAACAAGATCGACTAGTTGAGCTTTGGATGGCTGAAGGCTTTCTTCGACCGGATTCCAAAATGAAAGAATGATGGAGAAAATAGGATATGAGTATTGAGAATTTTGCTGCAAACTTCCTTATTGGAAGAAGTAAGAGATTGGAGGGGAACATGGTATAAAATGCATGATCTTGTGCATGATTTTGCAAAATCAATTTTGAATCGTAACAGCAGCAATCAGGACCGTTACCTTGCAGTATACTCATCCGAAAGAATGGTGGAAACCATCAGTGAAAAATCATCACTTCGCACATTATTTCTGGAGGGTGGCATAGCTGATGATATGTTATCAAAGTTCAAATATTTGCATGTCCTAAAATTGTTTGGAGCAGATGTCAAAGAGTTGCCGACCTCCGTTGGCAAACTAATCCATTTACACTTACTTGACATTTCAGGTTCTTGGATTAGAACTTTGCCAGAATCTCTTTGCAAACTTTACTGTTTGCAAACACTGAGAATTGGCATGCTTGAAGAAGGTTTTCCAAAGGAGATGAGCAATTTGATTAGCATGAGACATCTTCACTATAATAATAATAATTATACAAGACGAGAAATCCAAATGCCATCCGGGATTGGACGATGGACTTGTCTTCAAAAGTTAGAGTTCTTTAACATTGGTCGTCAAGAGGAAGGTCGTGGTATCCAAGAGCTTGGAACCTTGCAAGATCTTAAAGGCTCCTTGGAGATCAGAAATCTTGAATTAGTAAATGGCAAAGATGATGCTGAACTAGCAAACCTATCTAAAAAGCCAAATCTGCATCGGTTGGTATATGAGTGGTGCAATAGGTATCGGGAAGTGTTAATTGTGATGAAGATGTGTTGGAAGGCCTCCAACCTCACCCAAATTTAAAAGAGTTACAAATTTTGAAGTTCATGGGTGATCAGTTCCCACAATGGTTCATGAATTTGACATTGACATCACTGGTGGAGTTGCGGGTGAAGGATTGCACAAGATGCAGAGAACTCCCCACCCTAGGACAGCTGTCATCCTCCAACATCTATATCTGACTGGACTGGAAAACATAAGAAGCATTGGGCTTTCATTCTACAGTACAAGTGCTGAGGAGGACGGCGGATCAGGAGGTTCAAGCACTATTAGCAGACAAACATTCTTTCCAGCCCTTAAAAAACTCTCTCTTGAAAGCATGAAAAATTTGAAAGAGTGGAAGGACGCACCGAGATGATGTCAACCGCAGGTGAAGTACATGTGATGGATGTGTTTCCCGTGCTTGAAAAGTTGTCTATTAGTAATTGCCCCCAGCTGACCACCATTCCAACTCCAAGTCGTTTCCCAAGTCTTGATGTATTGAAAATAAAAAAGAATTGCCATGTTTCGCTGGCAGAAAAGGTTTTGAGCAATATAGCCAATCTCTCGTCCCTTAAATTAAGTGGTGGTAGTTATCACCGCATCGAGTCTCTGAAATTAGTGAGACGACCAGAGAGCAGCTTGAGTATTGATGGCTGTGACAGTCTACCCACTGACATGCTTGAGCGACTCTGTCTTTTTCCAACTCTTCAGAGTGTAGAATTGAGGTTTGTCAATAATATAACAACATTAAGAGGAATGAGTTGCCAGAAGATCTTTATCAATTTCAAGCTTTAGAGCACTTGGAGATACAGGGTTGCCCGAGAATTGATTCATTTGGATATCCAAATCCTAAAAATTCATTTGGACAGAAAAGCCTCCTTAAGTCTCTTGAGGAATTTACTGTCGATATGTGCGAATCATTCACAAGATTACCAGTGGAGATGTTCGAGTCGTGTACGTCTATCTTTCCCCTTGATTTGCGACGAACCCTTCTCTCGAGAGCTTCTCGTTATGGTGGTGTCCCAACTTGATTGCTGAGATGCCTAGTGGATTTGGCTATCTTACCAGCTTAAGGAATGTGGAGATTGGCCCCTTCTCGGATTACTCTGTAATCGAATTTGATTGGGCTGGATTAGCATCTTCATCAACACTCCGACACATGTCTTTACGTGGAATGCCTGACATGAAATCTCTGCCACATCAGCTTCAAGACTTGACTACCATCACATCACTATCTCTACGTGACTTCGGAGCAATCGAAGCTTTACCAGATTGGCTTGGGAACCTTGCGTCTCTTGATGAGCTAATCCTATTCGGTTGCGAAAAGCTTGAATATTTACCCTCCATGGCTGCCATGGAACGCCTCAAATTAAGACGTCTGGAAATTGGTAATTGTCCTCTATTAACCGAAACATGCACTCCTCAAAGCGGCTCCGAGTGGCCCAAGATCTCTAATATTCAAGAGCTTGAAATTGATTAAAAGTCATCTTTCCGAGCCATCGGGTAAGATTTCACTGCAAAATTTTGATTAATAGCTTCTCATTATTGGATATCGCTGTTCTTCACCATCTTATTCTATCCGTATTTGTTTCTCACTCTTTTTCTCTGTAAATATCTATTCCTCTACTTCTTCTGGCGAAGATTACTCTCTCTTTCAATTTTTAAGCTGATTCATGTCATTAACAAAGTAGAGTTACGAGCAAATTCAAAGACAACAAAAATTGTGGATTTCATCTGCTTTTCTGAACCATTAAAAGGATGAATAACAAGGTACAATATACTATTATATATGAACTTGCTGACTGTTTGTCAACAAAATTTACTAACATTGCAAGCGTAAACATTCAGCTTCAATGGGGTATGTTCTTTTTTTTTTTAAGACTCTGAATTATGATTGCCGTAAAATTAGCTCAATGTCGATTAAGTTGAAATTGTTTGCAGAGGAACTAGGCTGCTGCTAAAACTATAAATTCTTATCATCTTTTAAAATTTTTAAAATTCAGATACTATAACTAGCTACTTTTCTATTTTGTGAATTGGATTGATAATATTATGGCCTTGCAGGCCACAAGTGTCAATGAAGCAGCAAGCAGTGATAGCGCCGAAACATTGTGAAAGGCTCAAAAGTTTGCTTAAGGCAGAGTCAGCCTGGAACCTCTAGAGCATCTTATTGCACTTTTCGCATTCTCCAACTGCAACATCAGGTTGTGGTTTCGAATCATTTTTGAAGAAAGATGAGGAGGTATGTGGTTTGGAAATTTCTCCACCCAACTTACTAGAAGTACAGGGGAATTGGGCCTAAATGTAGGGTGGTATCTGCACTAGTAAGTGTTCTTTATGGCTTAATCGATGGAATATAACTTGGTTTTTGCTCTTTAGGATTTTGAGTGATAAATTGTTGCACTAGTTACCAGACCAAACCTTTCCGTGGCTCATGCTTCTACTTAATGTCATAACTGAAGTAGCATTGTGACGTAATATTATGTTTTTTTTTTTCCAGAATTTGTTTAGGAAGTAGAGATCATGCTTTTTGGACAAAGAACACCAACGTTCCCGTGTTGTTCTTATGAGAATGTCAAGAGGGAGGAGTTATTTTCACTTATCAGTCAGTTTTTGAAGATGGAAGGTAGTTATCTGTGATTTTTCCCGCCAGAATGCCATATATTGCTCAGAATATGGAAATGAAGGTAAAAAATGTTGACTGCATGTCTATTGGCCTGTTTCAATGGCTTTTCATTTTTGTTTTTTATCTATTTTCTGGAAGTATTTAACAAAATAAATCAAATATTGAACCTTTTCTCCTTGTAGCATGCTGAAAACAGAGTGGCTTGTGCCAGGCTTGTAGAAAGTAGTATGGATTGAGAAGAATTAGAGAAGAGCATGGTAGCTGGTACTGGAGAGCTATCAAGGTACAAGACTTGCTTGAAGAAAACTGGGCGTACTGATACTTTAATTCCAGAGGTGACAAGATTTGATGGAAAGAAGTTAGACATTGTAGACAGCATTGGTGATCATTTGGATGACATAAACGAAGCATGCGATTGCAGTGTCAGTCGTTCATTTGGATGGAAATAGTTCAAAGTTTTGGTGCTGCAATTGCAGCGGCAAGAATTTCTACATCCTCGTTCAAAGGTTCCCGCCAGATCTTGCAAGGCCTTTGTAAATTGGACAATAGGTTATACCTTTCCACTCAAGAACAAGAGAGACTCATTATACAACTGTGCTAACAGTTAGTCCTTCTAAGTACCAGGTACCTTCTTGGTTCTTAACTAAATTATTTTGACATGTCTACTTCAAGATAAATAGTCACAATCCAAAAAATTGCAGTTTGAATGATCAATAAACAGGTTTTGTTATTGTAGCATTCTATCTGTTATGTTTTAGCTAAGAAAGAGAAGCAAATCTAAAAATAATTTATAATTATTAAGAAACCACTTGGAATATGTAACATTTCGGAAGACTAATGAAGGTGGGAGATCAATGATAAATGTTTCACGTGAAGTTCTCCAATATGGTTTCACCTAATTAGAGGTACTCTACCACAAAGTATATGCTTGTTAGGTTAGATGAGCATGTTTCAGCATGCCCACTTAATGGAAGTTGATAAATTACTTTAAGAATTGAAGGAAGAAGGAAATTACTTGCCAACACTAAAAAGACATTGACATCCATTACCTGCGCGCTTCTTTCTGAAAACGGTTGTCCTTCTCTGATTTTTGTTTGGCCCAAAGATTTTAGTCTATCAGGAGAAATCAGTCAGCTAAAAGAAGTCAATCAGAAAATTTATGAATGTTAGTACATGAATATAAATTTTGCATTTTTCCTTTGGATTAGTTTGCCAAACTCTAGTTTAGGACATCATTTTAGAAAGAGAGGTAAGATTATCATCTTACTCTTCCGTTAACATTTAGCTTTGATCATCACTTTCATTTCTGAAAGAATCACAAGGACAAATTTATGAAATTTCGATTGACTTTTGCTAACATTACTTCCTTATGAATACTATGAGGACAAGTTTGGACCATCATTTGATAAGTTTCACGTAGTAACATTTTACGTCAGTAAAATTTGCATCTATTGCACTCTTTGACTTTTTCTCAACTCCCTGTATTGCTAAATCAATTCTGTTTTGAACCAAAATGGCCTACATCTTGAGCTGCAAATCCTAAAATTGACATTCCTATCAGAATTTCTTATCCGAAGCTATGTTGTTTTAGCCAATAAGAAATGTGACTGAAGAGTCAAGTTGCAGGTTGGCTAACATATGCTACAGATGTGACCAAAGGTGTGGCTAAAATTGTCGGTACGTTTGTAGGCTGTGCAGAAAATTCTAAAACTTATAGGTTGGTTGACCTTGATTTTAATATTATAGTTAAATCAAGAGAATTGCAAATTTTGAGAATAAGTTTTTCAAAGATTTAGAGCCTGTTGTGGATCCTACTAATGGTTTATAACAACTCCAAAATATTGATTTTTTTTTCAAGTAATAAGGAAAGGTAAGTGGCGCTCCTATTGAAATTAAAAGATGTCAAAGACCAAGGAAAGAAAAGCATCTATTCTCATACTTCATATCTTCATGAGCTATTGTTTTCTTAGTTGAAAGCAATAGGGAATCTCTACAAAATAAGATTCCAATCTTGCTGAATGTAGAAAATGATTCTAAAATATTTAGTGTAATTATGTCATCAAGAGATGCTTCTTTTAGGAGAGAAGTGGTAAATGATTAAATGGACTAATTATTGTCTAACAATACTTAATTTCTAGTTGATTTACCTAAATATTCAAAACCAATAGATTATAAGTGGGTATTTAGAAGAAAATATGCCACGAATAGATCTTTACTGACCTTTAAAGCAAAGTTAGTAGTTAAAGAATTTAAACAAAGGAAGAAATAGACTATTTTGAAATATATGTACGAATTACAAGAATAACTTCCATTAGAGTGCTATTGTCCCTAATTTTATTGTACAATTTTTTGTACATCAAATGAATATTGAAACAGCATTTTTAAATGGTGATTTGGATGAAGATTGCATATGAAACAACCTAAAAGGTTTGTTATGCTTGAAAATGAAAAGAAAGTATACAAGCTAAATTAAATCATTATGTGGCTTGAAACAAGCACCTAAACACATGGCATTAGAAATTTGAATCTATATTGCTCTCGAGTGGATTTAGTACAATAATACTGATAAGTTCATTAATGCTAAGTTCACTCAAGAGTATTGTGTCGTCATTTTTCTTTATATAGATGATATGGGACTAGTTTTAATAAAAGTGACGAGATTCTACCATGCACCAAATTTTAATAAAATCTAAAATACCCCATTTTCTGCAAGTATACAAATCGTTTATCGAGCATGAGAGATATAAGATATCGATCCCACAGGAAAGAGTGTCAATTACTGATGATTTTGAACTTCTTTATTATTTAAATTATGACGAGTGTAAGAGATTAAATTTACACTAAAAATATAAGATAAAAGTTATAAAAATAATAATAATAAACTCCTAACGTATAGAATTCCTTGCTACTCTTATGAATAAAATTATCGATTAATTGAATGCTATTATCTTAATTAGTTGTGGCATGATTTCCTCATATATATTAATAAGCACGGGGTATGCATATAACAATCAAGTTTACTCTACAGTCAAGTTTTATATTTATAAAATTTTAAATATCCTACATGCAATTTTTCACAAGTTTACGAGTTGAAATTGAGTATAGGGTATTAAGGGTTGAACTCACAGAGAAAACTGTCAATTACCAATGGTTTTCAAATTTCTTTATTATTTAGACTACCACAAATACAAAAAAATTAAATGTACATAACAAATATAAAATAAAAGTAATAAAATAATAATAGAAAGCTAATACGGTTATGGAATTCTTCTCTACTCTTGCAAATGAAATTACCGGTTAATTGAATGTAATTATCTTGACTAGTTATGACATAATTTTTTAATATATATGAAACTTACTCTCGTAGTAAATCAACTATACTTGTAACTAAACCATACCTATTCTCGTATTATGAAATTAAGTACAAATTAATTCTTTTTATGAAATTACATGAAATAAGTCACTAAATCCACATAAGTGCATCTCAACTATCATGAGTAAACTCCCTAAGTTTAGCATTTCCTTGAACTAGTGTTAAATCCCAATTCTCATTGCAAGTTTAACAACTTAAGATTATCACAATTAATGGCCAATTAATCACGATTAGAGAAACAAAGTGATAAATAACTTGTTTAAAATAATATTATCAAATAACCAAGTAAATATCACAAATAAAATATAGAAAATTCATCCATAACTGTAAGCATAAATTTTAGCAAAACATGAAGAACATGAAAACAAAATCCAAACTTGTATTATGATTAAATATGAAATCAAATACAAAAGAGAACGTGATAGGAAAGAGGTTACCCTTGTCACGTGACTTCCAACTCTCCATTGTTGTTCCTCAAATTTTCATCCAAATCTAACTACAAATACAAGATGGAAAAACTATACTAACTATAGTATACTAATAAACTAAGAAAAATTAATGAAGAAGAGATTACATTTTGATAGTGTCACTAGTCCTCCAAAGTTGTCAAATACGCTCTCCAAGGCCCCTATATATAGAGGATTAAACTTCCAAGTAATAATGTTAAAGTTAGTGCTAGTTGGCTCTTAGAATCATCAAAAGTTGTTTCTCCAAATTTTTACTCTTCTTTACAGATGAAATTTTGAGTTGTAGATGAGTTAAAAAAGTTATATGAATATAGAACAAATTGATGTGCAAGTTGCAGAAAATAGGGGAGAATACGTGACCTCATGAATATGTAACTTGAGCTCGTGTATTTAGAACTTACGTTTTCATTTCTGTGAATTTAACACCAATTTAATTGATATTTTCTTAATGATGGAGCCTGAACTAGTCCTTTTCCAAACCAAGAAAGTTGCAGGCCTTTGCGTTAACTTTCCAATGCTTTAAGTCATCCAATTTGGAGTTATGTAGACTATGAAATCACCAAAATACCCTTCACTGATCACAACTCTATTTTAACTTTCGACAAAAGAAATGACTAACTGTATTTCAACATTTTAACTAGGAAAACTCATGAAATGGTTTTAGATGTTTCATAAGAAATGTAGAGCTATGTGTTATCTTCGAAATAGCTCAAACATCATCTCAATCTGATGCGTGTAGTTCAAGATATAACTAAAATACAAACAAATGTCAAAACTGTCTAACTTTTCCTCTTTTATTCTTGATTGCATTTCCTCTTTACACTTCATATTCTCTTTAAATCACTTTAAAATCATCAACAATCATTCATTTATCTTCTAAACTCATTCCAACTGATGATTGAATCATTAAACCTACAAAAATATGAAATTTCACCACTTTTATCCATAAAAGTGTAACCTTTCACACTTAAACCATGAAATGCAAACTTGACTAAAAGCTTAGTTTATAGCTATAAAAACAATCAAAACACACCAAAACTAATTAATAAAACACACTTCAAACATGTAAAATATATGATATGAAACCTACTCTTGTAAAGAATCAACTATACTTGTAACTAAATCATACCTTCTCTCATGGTTATGAAAATAGCTATAAGATCATTCCTTTTATGAAATTACATGAAATAAGTTACTAAACCCACATAGATGCACCTCTACTCTCGTGAGTGAACTCCCTAGATTTATCACTTCCTTAAATTAGTGTTAAATCCCAATTCTCATTGCAAATTTTATACCTTAATATTATTACAATTAATGATTGGTTAATCATGATTAGAAAAGTAAAAGTTACAAACAACTTGTTCAAAATAATATTATTGAATTACCAATTAAACATCACTAACAAGTTATAGAAAGTTCATTCATAATTCTAGGCATAAACTTTAGCAAACATGAAGAACATGAAAGAAAAGACCGCACTTGTATATAGTCAAACATGAACTCAAATACAAAAGAGAAAGTGGTAGAAGAGAAGTCACCCTTGTCACATGAGTTTCAACTCTCTATCTTTGCTTCTCAAATCTTCATCCAAATCTAGCTGCAAGTACAAGATGAAAAAACTATATTAATTATACTATAGTAATGAATTAAACTAATAAACTAAGAAAAACTATTGAAAACTACATTTTTGGTAGCATTTCTAGCCTTCCAAAGCTATTAAACTAGCTCCCCAAAGGCCTCTATTTATAGAGAACTCAAGGTCAAAGAGAGTTGTTTCTAGTTGGCAAAATTGTCTCTCGAAATCACCAAAAAATGTTTCTTAAAGTCTCTATGCTTGCCTGCTCATATCTAGCCAGAAATTTTTGCAGACAAATTGGTCAAAAAGTTTGTGTGAA